TCGCAGAAATTTATCATCTTACATGAGCGTATTGAGGTCTCGAGAAAGTCTCCCTTGTCTATCGGCTGTCGTAAACACAATATCGAAATGACGTAAATGCTGCTCGAGACGCGAATGCATTTCAAAACGGGGATGCGCTTCCATATGAATTATTATTGCAGCGCATACTTTTGTCGTCTGACGAGAACCATCGTCTAACGTCGCGTCGTTTCACGCGGCCGCCGCCCGGTTTTTAATAACTTTCACCCGAACGAAGCCAGCCGGGTTCTTATCTTTACGAAGACCATACGATGCGAAACGTAACGGGACCGTCGGGCGACGGGTGTCCTCCCAGGTGAAATTGAAAACGCACGCCCGAAGAATGCGTTCGTATTTACGCGCTTTTACGTGCATTGACACTGGCGGCGAGACAGCGCTTAAAATTTAAGCGCCGGTATGTTGTTTATCGGGAACGGTTGGTATCATTCGGAACCACGTGGCACGTCTTCCGACGTCGCGTCGGCATTTTTACGGACGCGTAGGCATCTGAATGCCGGGACAATGCGTGTGCGAATCTCCGGGCGTCGAGTGCGTATCAGACGTCGGTGTGAGATTTTCTGCGGGACCCCGCGGCGCTCGCATGAACATTCAGTCCCGCGTATCGCGTATATTAATCCTTCGAGTACCTGTCTACCACATATCGCGCGTCAATTCGCGGTGTTCCGCGGTATTAAGTAACGATACGAATATTGAACGTTAAATACAGATATCGCGAATGGAAATCGTTTCTCTTAACAACCTGGAATTATCGGTGAAATATTATCGGCGAAATACTATCGGTCGCTTGATGATCTCGTGAGAATGTTTCGACGTTAAGTAGAAGAGTGTTTCACGCGAGAAGAAAAAGAAGATGCGAAACACCGTCTGGATGTTTAGGGAGTCGACCGCGTTACGTAAGCGATGAATTATCTTACGGCGGCGTTTTATCGACGGCGAGTCGACGGTTTCGCGCAATTCTGCACGCGCGGTGCTTTTATCTCGGAAAATCGCGTCAGCACTTCTCCGCTCTTAAAATCCGTCTCGCTTTCCACTTTTGTTTAGCCTCTCGGCTCTCGGCGCGGCTCGCGACTCCACCACTTTGCGCAAAAGAGCGCCGTAGTAATACGAGGCGCCATTACTGTTAACGTCGTTACCGCGTTAATATTGCGTGCTCACGAACACGTTCGGGCTATACACGCCTCGATCCTTTTTCTTTATCCCTTTTGAGGATAATTTCGCGCCGCGAAAAACGTGTATATTGCGATGTTAATAATGAAGAGCCGCGGGACTCTAACGTGAGAAGTATGAAACAAGTTTAGCAGACCATTCTTAAGGAATATCGTGCGGAGAAATTGTGATTACGCGTGCCTCTTAAATTGGTATGTTTTCGTCATTTTCACCTCTCGCGATTGGAAAATTCAGCGCTTAAAGCCGAATGAATATCCGGCGAAGAAAAGCTGTGAGCTTCCTGGACGCGACGCCGCGGCGCGGTATGCGCATGATTTGCATACGTCATTCAAGCCGAGGGGGTCTCTAGAGAGCCGAGAGCTGACGTAGGAAATTCGTCACGGCGAATTGCTCGCGGCTGGACGTTATATCCGCCGTTAAGATCACCGTGAGTCCGGTTCTCTCCGCCGGACTGCCACGCTTGCTCGCTCCTATCGTTGGCTGTTATGACAAGTGGGCTATTAATTTCGCTCTCGACTTAGCCCGAGCCTCGCGGGATCCGCGCGCGCTGCTCTCTTAGATGCACTTTACGAGAGATCCCTTTCTCGCCACTGCGATTCCCCTTCACCCCTTCGTTCTCATCTCCTCGCCGCCGTAGAAAAGAAACTTCCGACCATCGCTCGATTTCTGAGTGACGACTATATTTAATAATTGCGCCTATGTAGAAATTGTATTCGCGTGCGCACTCGCGTGTAGCGCCCGTTCTCGCTCGGCTCGATCGCGAAAGTCGCTCGGTCGGAATACGATCGTTCTGTGATTCCTATTAATATTATTGATGGTTACTTGTTATAAGATTATTAATGTTATGGAGCGATAAATCGTCTGAGGATAAGTCATACGTTGCGCAGAATACTTAATTGGATAAGATCTCTCTTTTCAAAATTCAAAGTTTTACAAATTTATGTAATTGCGTCTGGTGTAAAACTGTAGGTATTTGAAAAATGTGAACTACAGCGTGATTATGAATAATACATTTAATCTGCTCTTGATTCCTTTGCTCGCGTACAAACTGACGCGTAAAAATTTCTCGGACATGTTGACGCTCCGCGTTCGACTAATCTTCGACGCTCGCAGCTGGACGGCGCGATCTAATTTACATTTCAATCCACGAAAATCAGTAACGAGCAAAACACTCGGCGGGGCGAAGATCGATCGCTCGCGCGGGCAGCGTAATTTGTAACTCGGCGCGTATCCGGCGTGTCGTTCTCCGAGCGATAATAAAGTACCGAAAGTCGGCCGTGGCCGAGCACTTATCGTTGCGCAGCGCCGGCCGGATTTTTTTTCGCCGCTGCGCTTTCGCTCGCGCCTAAAAATGCAATAACTTATAGATCCACGAGTGATGGCCGGAAGATGATTGGACACGGCGGTAGAATTCGCAGTTTCGCGCACCTCGATCTTCCAATCATTCCGCCTTGACACGTTCATTATGTTATTCCTGTGTTGGAACAACCGATGTTATCACGACTCTTCTCTCACTACATTTGATATTCTCCTAACGGTACCATTTTATTCAATAAAGATGGATGTATTTGAGGGAAATCGCGGAAACCCAGGGTCGCCGCGTGTTGTAATGCGCGGTATACACGACGTGGGATAATAATTTATTTACGCGAATAACTCAAGAGTTCTCGCGCACTCGCACTCCGTAATTTATTCCTGCCTTTGAATATAATCGTCGTCTGTAAAATATACTCATTATCCGCGCTTTGTCATAATTACGAAGGAAGCCATCTGTCGCGATCCGATAAGAAGCTCGCGTAAATACTGATTTACGCGGGTCCGTGTCGTGCGTCGTTCTCGCCGCCATTGCTGCCGCGATCCGAGAAAAATCGTGAAATGAGCAGAAACAGATGCGGCCCCGCGGGACCGCACTGACGGCGATATTTATCGGGTTTCCGCCGATGCGGCATCCTCGTTTGTCACCCGGCAGTTTCGCGCTCGACGCAAGCGCAGGTGCAAGCAGGAAATGGCGCGCTTAGATTCCCTTTACCTGAGTATCGTGCTCTCGCCATAGATCCAAGGTCAGCGCTGATGTATACCGGCGTCGGGAGTAGCTCGGGGAGAGGTCGTCGAGCTCGATCCTGATTAATGGCTTTCGAGATCGAGCCTTGCGTCTCGCAAACGTGGCTCGCCGTCCAGGCCGTCCAGGTGCATTGCACCGTCCGTTAGACGAGGGCTGGGCTCCGAATCGTCGTTGAAGTTACGCTTACGCCGTTTAATAACAAACGTGTTCGTCTGCTCGTCGCTTGAATGTTGACATTAAACACTGCGAATTTGCGCATCACGAGCAAGATTCTCTGATTTTGAGATCTGATTGCAGAACTTGACATCAAATGTTAACTCGAAATATCAGTCTTCAGCATTCAAATATAATTTATAGATTCTTTTACTGTGATAAATGCGCGGTTATTAATTTTTGCAAGTGATTAATGAATTTACTTTTATATTCCAAAGGATTAAAAAAAAATTTACCGCATGATTCTCGAGGGACACGTGTTCGCGATTAAGCAATTTTTTATCCTTCCACTTAAGGATCAATCCGTGGGCATTTATGCGGGATTAAATATTCGACAATAAGACGAGAGAGCTCTGTAGTGCTTGACAAAAATAGCAGACTAAAAAGTAGTGCACACAAGCGGGAAGATTAACATTAGCGAATGTAGCACCGTCTGGTTGAGGACGAAGAGTAGCTTAAGAGAGGTCGTCACTCGATCCTGATTAATGGCCCTCGGTATCTCGCGGGGCTGTAAACAGTATTAATCAGGATCGAGTTTACGGTGCGCGGACGCGTCACGAATCGCATTAATCAGAATCCCCGGCATGGCACGAAATGCTCGTGTCCACGTTATGTTACGTTGCATTGATTTACTTCGCGTTTTCCGAATATCTCGTCGCGTTCTTCCTCTAGCGAACACTTTTTATGCAAAATATCCACTTCTTATTCCTTTTAAGAAAGATAACCAATAAGCCATTTAATTCCTTTCTTTAAATATTTAATAAAATCTTCCTTAAATGATTACATGTTATAATATTTTGTGAGATTATTATAAACAAGACAGTTATGTTTGAAAACGATATAATCAGTATTATTTATGAAGAGCATTGAAAATCATACATTGAAAATTATACGGGCACATTTAAATGCCGGATGTGGTCTTGATCTTTCCTTATGCGCATTGATCTTTTCATACACGATGTGCCATGATGTGCCATGATGTCACACACATCATTACTGGCAACCGGAACTGGCAGGATACATTTATTCTAACGTCAATTTTACAGCTGTCCGGCCGAAAGGACGAACCTCTCGGGGCTATCGGCCTTGTCGTCGTTTTACGTGCCCGTGGCGAATGGATTTAGCAACGGGCATGCTGGAGAATCCAACATTGTAGTTTACGGCTCACAATCGGTTTAGCGGTTGTCAAAGGGACGAAAATTCACTCGAGTTCCCTCGATCACAGGATCGATCAACAATCATTTAAGAAATAAGCGCAACTGATTTAATTTTAGATTCGAAAAGTTGTTAAATATTCTGTAAATTAACATGCCAAATGATATCAAAATTAAATTTCAAATTCAATAATAACTCTTAACTTGATGAGAATTTTGTATTTTTAATATTTTAACATTTCGAAGTTACATTGATACATTTTTTAAATGAGAAACAATTATTTTTCTATTCGTTGAAGAATTATTACTCTCAGTTTCAGAAAATAACGGTGATTCTAAATGAATTTCATTCGTTTATGTTTCAGGATCCACTTGCCAGTGAAACACACGCCGGTTACTACCACGCAGCCAGCCGTCAAGAGCCTGTTCCGCTGTTCGGTGAGTGAAGTATTGATTCTCAATCCATTTGCGAAGAGGACTATTTAAGTAGAAACTGCGCGAACTGTTCAGACGGAACAGTTCCAACATTTCCGGCATCGGCCATTGTACGGGCCGTAAATCGCCACGGCCGATCGCCTCGTCCTCGACGGTCGAAAAATCGCGCAGCAGGGTACCTCTTTCGATAATCCCTCGTCGGATAAGCACTTCGCCTCCGCGATCTCGCGGGCTCGTTCGAGCGCGATCGGCACACTTTCAAAACGTGCGTTTTTCACTTCCGCCATTACACACAGACGGTCGTCGAAAACAATGGCCCGATGGGCGAATCAATATTGTTCGTACGTGATTGTCCCCCATCTTCTCCGCCGATCGGATGAACGACCCGCGATCGGCTTTCACTGATACTTCGATTCTCTCCCCTCCCCCTGCGTTTTATTCGATGTATTATTACAAGAACGCCGTAGCTTTTTCCGCTCACGGCTTCGGCGGCGGCGAACTTCACTGCTCTCGGGCCTGCAGTTTAGAGCTCGTTTAGGTACTACTACTTCACATTACCATATCACTTATCTTGTCTCGTAACTCACCGCGACCATTTCTTTATTATTACGTCCCGGCGTTTCCTCGCGCGGCCTCTCTTCCTAGATACAACCACTACTATCTGCCGCCGCGCGCATTTCATAACACGAGACTACCGTGTTCAGGAAGAAGTACTTCGAGGGAGATACTTACTATTCGAGACGAGTTGAACTTCTGTGTCTCCGAGAAAGATGCTACCGCGATGCATTCCTGTACGGCATAACTCTCTCGTAAACGTTTCCGTTACGTAAAGTGCACATTGAGATTTCGCATGGATTTGATAGAAAATGTAGCTGCGGGACGCTCGAAGAGACACTTTACATGCGCGACGAATAAAATTTTTGAAAATTTCCCTCCGAGGAGCATATCGCTGATGACGTGTTTCCCGGGAAAGGATAATCATTCGTGCAAATAGTTCTCTCGAGTCTTAAAGTACATATTGAATTTTTCAACGGGTCTCTTATTGAAAGCGTAGCTTCGCGCCTCGAGAAATCTCGAAAGTAAGAGCGAGACTGCGTGAATGCGAAGTCTAATTTATGGGAGTCAGGGATTATGCAGTACTTTCAGCCTTTCATGCGTAAAAAATTTACGCTCGCTCGGACATCCGGTATATCCTCGAGCAAAAGATCCTCCGCGACGGGATCGGAGTACACTCCGCGGGAGTCGAATCGCGCGGGGATTTTTGTTGCGCGCAAAAAGCGAGGCGCAAACGAGATCTAAGACGCGCGCGTTACGGCGAGTTCGCTTCGGCGACTTTGAGGGTGGCAGTTTAATTTGCACGACGGCTGTAAAGCCAGCTAAACTGTCCGACAAATATATATCTTGGCAACGTGTTGGCAGCAGCGTTCGTCTAACCGGCGCTGCGGCGATGCTTAATCGACGGTTCAAAAGTGGCACTTCCATTTTCGACCCGCGCGAGCTGTAAAACTCGCGCAGAGAAGGGTTGATGCGACCGGGTGACTCCCCGCCATGCGCGCGATAATTGCCGACGCCGCAAGAGAGAACTGGTTTTAATAACTCAGTGACCTTCGCTTGCGGTTTTCGTCGTTCATTCCTGACGAAAGTAAAAGAAGAAGTGGAACGCGAGCGCGATCCTACGCCGCGATATCGTCCGTGACCCCGTGATCCCGTTGCAATTTAACCCTTTCGCGTATGTCGTGCTTTGATATCAGATATTTTTTTGTAATTATAGTGATTTATAAGGATTAATATTTTTAAATTATTTTAAAACAATCCACGGGATACATAGATATGTTTCAATGATTGCACGTCTGATCACTTTTTACGATATTGTATCTACTACTTGTATATGATATGATATTCTGATAAAGCTTACTTGTCACTCATGAAACTCTAGAAGTGATTGAATATCTTATGTCTACCGGTATATCGTATTACCATTAGTCAATGCCTTATAAGTATTGTTAGAAATTAGAATTCTTTATGTGCATTTATCAAGATCTTTTTCTTTGTAGATCTTAATTAATACTGTAATTAAATTTTTAATTGCATTCAAATTATTTCAATGAAATATTTGCAATACAGGATTCTTCATTCTTTCTCTTTGTTTTTATGATGCTATTTATGCTATTATATGATGTAGATTTTATTTTAGAATGGATTTCTCGTAGACTGTGATGTAAATAGTATCAATTTAATACAATGGTGAAGTCTTGGAGAATGCATTGCGCGGCATGAAGATTGTACTCTTGATTAGCGTCATTCAACACAAGACAATGTAACTCACTTAACATTACGTTACACATAATCGTATATTCAACGTGACACGCGAGCGAGCAGACGGAGGAGTGTACCGGGTGGCGATTTTTCACGTCATACCGGAAATAATCGAGGTAGATCAGCGACGAATTCCGCGCGGGTGACTACCATTGGCGAATCGCGGCACGCGAATAAGTGCAGAAAGGCGTCACGGTAGGCGATCGCTCCTCGAGTTCTCATCGGTGATAACAATGGAACATTGTACGCTAATGTCGCAAGCGCGCGGACGTAATTACGCCCGCGATACCGCGATACTCGCATGCGCGCACGCTGCGTGGGTGAAAATCGTGTCATTAGTCAGTCCGGGCCCGCCATTAGTTACGGTCCGTTAATTACGCCCGGCCGCTTTGGTAGCGATCACTCCGATCGTCCTCTGCGCGGATATCTAATCTCGGGGACGTTTCAGCTGTTCGAAATCCTCATCGAATAACTCATCTTAATAACGATATGATTTTCGCGGCCTCTGAAACTCTGACTTTGCAAATATCTTCTTCAATTAAAAGCTATTCTGAATTATATACATATATAATTAATACGTATTTCCTTTTTGTTATGCGTTTTTTTTTAAATTACAACGCAACTTCATCTCGAAATTCCCTCGAAATGTGTCTAGTTGACTTTCAGCGCTTCGTGTAATTTAGCGTGGAAGGATAATTTCGCTATAAGCGCGGTGAACGAGAACATGAAGATTCGCGGGCTGCACGACGAGATCGAAGGTTAAACAAACTGCCCGTTCGGCGGGATGCGGTTTTTAGACATCCTCGCATTCCTCTCGACGAAGTAACCCGACCGGTGCATACCATCACGCGCCGATGCACCGCCGCGTTAGCTATTATTATTGTTATTAGACCGCCAACTGCGGTATCGTATTCGGCGCGGTGAGCGAAAGAAAGAGAAAAAGGAAACGCGGTGCGCGGTACGAAGACGCCGTCCGATTGCGCTCGCTCGATCTGCATGTGAAGAAAAACGGGGGCGGCCGGTTGGTCGGGCAATTTGCGGTGAATGTAGGCCACAGGCGCGCGCGCGCGCACACACACCGTACCGGGATTAGGATAATAAATATGGCCGAGGTGAAATCATCCACCTCGCGTCTCTACGACTGACCTTACCGTTTTCATAGCGCGGAGAGGAAGAGGATGAGGAGCAGCAGTGTGCGCGTTCTACGCGACTCTCCTCTCATCGTAGCACCCTCGCCGCGTGTTTTACGACACAACCTACATTTTACTTGTTCGTCTTTCGGCGAGAAAGTCGACAGGTGAGCATCTCACTATGCTACATGCAGACACTTTGCACATTTTTATATTACCAATGTAATTATCAATCTCTATTTTGCTATTATACATTTTTTTCCACGCTTTATTCAATTCCTTCAACATAAAGACTGCCTTCGCGAAAATCTATTACATTATTCTTACTAATGTTTCTCCATCATCATTGTGAATATGAATTCAAGGAGCAATTAGAATGAAGATTAGATTATAAATACATTCGAATAGTAGCGTAGTTTGATACGATTGTTTTATGCCGGCATCCGTGATTGCGCGCCGAGCGTTTACGATTGTCCGAGTCATCTTCGTGATTCTCCGACTTCGCCGGAGAGTCCATCCCTTCGCTCGTCTCCGCGAGAAATAAAGGAGCACGAAGGAAGAGGTTGCTCATCCCGATAAAGAAAAATACAAAAGTATAAATCACGCGTCTCCCGCGTTAATCTGAAAAAAGTCGCGAGGAGCCCGGAGCAACCGACGGGGCGGAGAGCGAATCGAGCTGGACCGAAAGGACCAGCAGACATGCGATGGCGGCGCCGTTGCACGAACATGTCATTGTTTATTGCTGCGAGTCGCGCGAGATAAGTATCAATTGAATGGTCCGGCGTGAGATTGATGCGGTCCCAGCGGGCAACGCGCCGGAACATCATCGACGAGTCCGCTCTCTCCTACCCTCCCCGTTGCTCGCTCTCCGCGACGCTCGTCGCCCGCGGCGTTAATTGTTTTCCTAATTCGGACACGGCAGATAGGATTATATGTACACCTTCAATTACAGTGATACATCGGCAACACGCGACGCGCCACCTCCGCAAGCTCGTCGTTCTGACTTTATTATCGCGTCCCCGCGTGTCCTTATTATTCTTATTTGTCTGTTTCGTGCGACGCGTCATTAAATTTATTTGCATGTAAATTTGCAAAGCCATTCCCGTCAAGGATCCCGTCGGAGTTGCCGACTCCCGCGGTGACGATGTTGACCGGAATTATTGCAATTACACGCGATTTTTTCTGAAATTACTCGAACCTCTGATAAAAATAACTTTTAATGAATATAATTAAACACTATTTTTAGAGAAGAAAGAGCGAGAAGAAAGCGCCGACAATCTCGATTCTGAAAAAATTAGAATGGTCCTGAAAAATTTAACGGCGCTCTTTGCTTATTGATTTCACTTTAATTGCGAATTGGTTGATGTTTTTCGTCGCGACGTTTAATCGGTGACACCGATTAAAATTGCCCTACTCGATGCCTTCAATTATTTTTAAATGCCACTTTCGGGTACACGTGTGTGTATACAATTATCGCGATGAAATGAATATGATCCGAATTCGGAGATAAATTTTATTATCGACCGCCCACTCATAAGTCTTATTCTATTCGGAACG